AAACCCTCTTTACAGAGGTAAAACCACCACTATAAAAATAGTGCAAGTACAACTTAACCGTCAAGGATTACAACACCAATCCTAGACCCACATACAATATTTTGGTACAAAGAAAGACCCCTAAAATATTGTATGAAAAAACAAGTTGTACAACCTCTCTCATAAAAGTGCACACATGGCTAGAATTTTTTTCTTTCTTTTCTCTTGCTCGTGCCAGCCCCACCACCCATTAGCTTAACAATGACCAAGTTTTATAATGGGACAACAAGAAGCATACGGAGCATTCCAAAGAAAGACCAACAGCCACATTAAAATTCCAAGAGTAATAAACACAATATTATGCAGCAACCTTTTGGTATTTCCAATACCAAAATCAAAAATAAATGAAGGAAAACTGATGAGACAGGAAGATAAAGGGACCCGACTCTTGAGTTGGAAAAACTTTGGAAATAATCCCAACAATCTCCCCCTCCAACTCAAGAGACACCATCATCAACCTAGAAACAATGAACCCTCGTTGCACCATCCGCAAACGAGACGCGTTGACCTCCCTTTCCTTCCAATTCACCTCTCACCGTATGCCTGACCGTACGATACAAACCGTGATCCAGCTCCCCCTTAATCACAATCGTGCTACCCTTAGTTACTTTGACCACTCCCCCACAAGACTTGTACTCGTATCCCTCGGAGTCCAATTGACTAAGTGAAATGAGATTCCGTCGTAACTTTGGAACGCATGCCACGTTACCCAAAGTCCTCACCACCCCATCGAACATTTTCATTTTCACCACTCCAACACCCATGACCGCCACCGTCGAGTTATCCGCTAACCTCAAAATCTTAGTCATGCCTTCCTGAAGTGTCTCAAAATGTTCCTTCCTTGAGCACATGTGACTCACACATGCAGAATCAAGCACCCAATCATTGCCGGAAGCTTCATCATAACCGTTAGCGACCATGAACAACTCGTCACTTTCATTTCCTAGAGAACTACTACCAGTCTCTCCATCTCGAACCAAGTTGGCATCATTTTTCCCCTCACACTTCTTAGGACAATCCCTCCTAATATGCCCGAGCTCGCCACACTTGTAACAACGCACCTCGTTCTTAGATGTGTTCTGGGACTTGGACCTTCCGTGCTTTGATTTGTAGTCCCTAATAGACGAACGACCTCTCCCACCACCATGAGCAATAGCCGCGACTGCATCGTCACTCCGTACCCCAGCTTTGTCTTTCCTCCTCGCATCAAACGACAACAAAGCTGATTGTGCCTGCTCCAAGGTAATCGTGTCCTTCCCGCACAATATGGTATCCACATAAACCTCATAGGAATCCGGGAGAGAATTAAGGAGAAGCAATGCCTGATCCTCCTCACCGATTTTAACATCAACCCGTTTCAACTCGTCTATTAAACCATTGAACACATTCATGTGTCCAACCAAGGTGTCCTCATCCTCCATCCGCAACCGATACAACCGCCTCTTCAAAAGAAGCTTGTTGGTCAAGCTTTTTGCCATGTACAGCTTTTCCAACTTCTCCCATATCGCCGCCGGAGACTCCTCGTCAATAACACAATTAACGACAGAGTCTGCAATGCACAACCGGATGGTACTGACACACTTCTCGCACAACTCCTGCCAATCATTGTCACTCATTTTCTCCGGCTTCGCCTCATCTCCTTTAAGAGCTCTAGCCAAACCCAAATGCACAAGGAGATCCTTCATCCTTCTTTGCCAAAGAGTGAAGCTACTCTTTCCATCGAACTTAGGCACGGCAAAGTGAGACCCCGAACCCGAACTCGACATCCTCGAAAACTACTAGAACCACCAGAACCTAACCCAAAAGCTTTGATACCACTTTGTTGGGAAATTTAGCACAAAACTTCCCACACAACGAAAGGAACAAACTAGTAGTCGATCGAAGAACAAAGAAACCGCAAGCCGAAAAAAAACAGAGATGAGACCAAAGATTATTGAAACCGGAAAAACCCTCTTTACAGAGGTAAAACCACCACTATAAAAATAGTGCAAGTACAACTTAACCGTCAAGGGTTACAACACCAATCCTAGACCCACATACAATATTTTGGTACAAAGAAAGACCCCTAAAATATTGTATGAAAAAACAAGTTGTACAACCTCTCTCATAAAAGTGCACACATGGCTAGAATTTTTTTCTTTCTTTTCTCTTGCTCGTGCCAGCCCCACCACCCATTAGCTTAACAATGACCAAGTTTTATAATGGGACAACAAGAAGCATACGGAGCATTCCAAAGAAAGACCAACAGCCACATTAAAATTCCAAGAGTAATAAACACAATATTANTTTTGGTACAAAGAAAGACCCCTAAAATATTGTATGAAAAAACAAGTTGTACAACCTCTCTCATAAAAGTGCACACATGGCTAGAATTTTTTTCTTTCTTTTCTCTTGCTCGTGCCAGCCCCACCACCCATTAGCTTAACAATGACCAAGTTTTATAATGGGACAACAAGAAGCATACGGAGCATTCCAAAGAAAGACCAACAGCCACATTAAAATTCCAAGAGTAATAAACACAATATTATGCAGCAACCTTTTGGTATTTCCAATACCAAAACCAAAAATAAATGAAGGAAAACTGATGAGACAGGAAGATAAAGGGACCCGACTCTTGAGTTGGAAAAACTTTGGAAATAATCCCAACATAAAGTTATGGTTCAAGGTCACCAATTTCACAATTCGAGAATCTAATTGTTGTTGAGGTGAGCAGATGAAATCATTCTCTTCTTAAATTGTTTTTATAAATTGTTGTTTAGGAGAAACAATTCGTATGGTTAAATGGAGTCGGAAGAACAGTGGTGGTGAAGGTTAGTGGTGATGAAGGTTAACAGTAGCAGGGTGTTTGGCTGGCCTCTGCATTTTATTGACTAGAAACATATTTTTTTAGTCTAAATACGAAAAATGCAGAGGCCAGTCCTCTAGATCTTCAGAAAAAATTATATTAAAGCCTCAAGTTTGAATGTTCAAAAGTTTGGATGAAGACATCCTATTTTACAATTGATATGCTTCATTTGTGGATTTTATATTAGTCAATAACAAAATATGTTTCTAGTCAATAAATCTTTTAGTTTGATGCATTCCATCTAAAAGGGAGACGATTAATCATTAATGTTAGACATTGGTGCATATGTAATTTTATTAAAGTGTATTTTTTATTGCTTTGTGTTACACTTTTGTTATTACAGAGTGAACATTTTAATATTATACAGATGCTCTCTTGCTTGTAATTAATTTTTTTAAATTAACATACTCTACATGGAAGTGCATTTGAGATATTTACGTCGCATATTTATAGCATTGTGTTTTGAATGTTTATTTTGACAACGGTTCAATCTCAAGTTATGAGCTTCGCACCAACTGCAGTTTTTTGGTGATTTGTTGCACTTTTGTTCCTCTATTTCGATTCTAGCGCCTTCGTAGTGTTGTTAAGGGCTAGATATCATTGTGGTGCTGTTATATTGTGCATTTGTACTCTCAATTTGGTGATAGTGGAGTTGGTTGGACCGAAGGGACTCGTGGTTTTTTACTCTTTCACATTGAAAGGGTTTTCCACATTAAAATCTCGTGCCTCATATCGTATTATTTTTCGTGTTTGGATTATCTTGTTGCTTGGTGTTCTTTGGTGTGTTTGTTTGTTGCTCCTCATATATTCATTCAAGAGAGAAAGGTGTTGATCTTGGGCACTACACATTCATTTGTGTTCTTGCTTTCCCAACAACATTTTGAAAGAAGTTCTATTAAAATGCGTTATGATTAGTCTTGATGTGACACAATCATAGTCTAAGATGCAGTATGATTATTTTTTAAAAAAACTCTATTGTAGAGATTCTATTAAAAAAGTTTTGTTAGAAGGAAATATGATTGTTTTTCAATTTAAACAGGTTTTATTAAAATTCAATACTATTGTTTTAACTTTTTAAATAAATCCTATTAAAATGCAATATCATTACTTTGATATAACACAATCACAATTCAAGATGTAGGATGAATATTTTTAATAGGTTAGTATAGTACTCAATATAAGTTTTACAGAGTATTATAGAGGCTCTATTGGAATGTAATAAGATTGCATTGCTCTTTTGAAGTTCTATCCAAATGCAATATGAGCACAAATTCCTAATGTACAAACTTCAAAAGTCGTATTCTGCACAACATGCACTATCTTGAGAGTCGATCATAATTGCAATTTGCAACCAAAGCTCATGTGAATCACATTATCAAACACTGGTCCAAAATTAGAAAGTTTCCAATAAAAACATATGCAAATAGGTTTGTCACAATGCATCCTTAGTCATTTTTAAACCCAATCCCTTGTTCTTCATTGCATATGTCATCTTTAATCTGAATCTGTTTATGTGTCGTCTTGTTTTGTTTTTTGGTATGGAACGCTCCTCAATCTTCCACTCCGACACATTGGAGTCGTGGATGGTATAAAACCACAAACAACATTGCACGCTTGCCCAGACTCTTTGGAACTGCATTCGATCATGTGATCACCTGCACAAGTAATTTTTTGCATAAATAATTTTTAACACCTCAGAATTTTAAAAAATAATGTTCAAATTATGTGTATGAGGTAGATATGTAGCAATGAATGGTGAACATATGCACCAGAATGTTTACAAAATGCAGTACATGCAAACACATTTCATATTTGGATTCATGCTGAAATTCTAATCATATTTAATGCCCTCAAATTATTTGTACGCATTGGCAAAGGGATTTGTACTCAAATACAAGCTAGCATTAAGAATCAAAATATGATGCATCAAAAATACCTAATAGTGCATTAGGGTTAACAACGCATATCATACTATACAACTAATAATTTAATTACATAGAACCATCATATTGTACAGTTGTAAGTAAAGGAATCCCAATCTCAGAGCTTTGAATCTTAAAAAAACCTATGATGCTTTTCAAAAATCTCCCCAAATGCTTAAATGCATCCTCTGTTCTAACAAACACACAAACAACTTATTAAATTCATGCACCTGAAAAGATTCTCCTATGATGCATTTAAGCAAAACCCAAATGCATCCTCCATCGCAGTTTCACTTCAAACCTAAGGCGAAGACACCAAAATAAAATTACCCGACCAAGAAAATCTTGTCCTATTAGAACCCTAAACTCCATCCCAAAATGCAGATCAATTAGAACACCCCATTAATGCAACTTTTCACCTCTTTTATAATAACCCCATGTATTGTTTCTTAGTCTGCTCGCATGCATAAAGCTCTCTGAAAATTTTTAAAAAAGAAAATTTTAACAAAAAAATTGCACCTGTCGTTGGAGTCAATTTTCGGTGCAGTCATTGCCGTTGATTAAATTTCCACCAAACTCGTTCCGATGGATGTTTGCAGTGTTTGTGGGATACGATGCTGCGCTTGAATGGAGGAGATCGATGCTGCGCTTGAAAAGGGCAAAATTTGTGGGATCCGACTACTTATTGAAATTATTACCTTTTTTGTTTGCACTCGGAAAGTCCAATTATGCCCCTCTGCGAATAATCTTTCCCTACTTTAATGTGTAATTAATGCATACCATTATTATACTTGTATGGCCATCCATTAAAAAATCTCAATCATAGCCTTCGGCTACTTCTAATCTAAGAGTTTCAAATTATTCTTATTCTTTTACCAAGCACTATTCTCACATGAACCAATTCATATATACATATATATATATATATATATATATATATATATATATATATATATATATATATATATAGGTTTTGGTTCAGGTGAGAAAGGGATCTAGTGAAAGAAATGAGAATGAATTTGGAATCGTTAGATCTAATCATGCGTGCAGGAGTATAATAGGGCTTCTACATTTCATCTGTCTCTCTCAAACTCTACATTTATTGAGGAGTAATGTCTTTTTCCTAAAATTTATGTATTATATTCATTTTTTATTTTCAGCCAATGAATTTGAAATGAAAAAGAATCTCTAAAGAGTTCTATTGCACTTGGTAATTGAGGTAATGTGGGGATTTGATTGATGCGTCACTTCATTGCCTTTTTAGTGGCTTAGAATTTTACATTAATGCCCTTTGAGTTGATTAGCCTTTGATATAAAATTAATTCAATAATTGCTTGCCTTATTAAACCTAGACACGTAGCACTATTTTAGAACAAATCTGGCCGTTAAATGTTTTAGATCAACGTATGTCATTCATTCTTATTTCTTTCATGAAGGGTCATTCTCACAGGAACCGGCCTATATATATATATATATATATATATATATATATATATATATATATATATATATATATATATATATATATATATATATATATATATATATATATATATATATATATATATATATATATATATATATATATATATATATATATATAACCCGCATGGAGTTGTCCAATCGCATTGAGTTTTCTTTGAAAAATGCTAGGGGTACACCAAAGGTGTACCCCATATGTCCCCCACCCCCTCCTTGTCCACTAAAAAAGGCAAAAAAATTTAAAAAAAAAAATAAATAAAAATCAAATAAAAATGGGTGGTGGAGAAGTGGTGGTGTACATTTGGGATACATCTTTTGGTGTACCCTAGCATTGTTTGTTTTCTTTACACGGTACTTTTTTGCCTTTTTCGCAGGAAACCCGCATTGAGTTGTCCAATCATAAATAACCCCCCGTTTTTTTACGAGTACTCTTTTTTTTTTGGATTTTTTTTCTTTCCAAAACACCCCACTTTAATTGCAGTCCCATAACCCCCACGGCCCCACTCATAAATTTTCCACTTTAGAGGAAGCTTTATGCATTGTTTTCTTTATGTACTACACTAGAATTTGAATAAAAGTTTGAAAATTTTTTTATGCATTGGTTCTACATATTGTATAACTCTGTGCATGTGAATGTGAACATCAAAATGTGAAAATTTGATGCATTTTTATATAAATTTATAATTGAATTTATGTAGAACCATAAAGTTTGAAAATTTTTTTATGCATTGGTTATTGTATCTAGATTATACCTCTGTGCATGTCTATATATAATGAATAATTTCATATAATATTTTCTTTATTTTTATTTTGCTTCAATCTAAAATAGTTCGTAATCATTAATTTTTATTTTCATAAATCTTTTATACGTAGTAATAACATTTTTACATAAATTTATAATTAAATTTTTGGCCGTGCATCACACGGGTACGAATTTAGTGAGAATTAAGAAAAGGATTAAATTATTTGTACACAGCAGAGTTCTACCTTTATTTGTGTAGAAATCACCCTAAATAAGACTAAAATATAGAGAAAAGTATCAAAATAGAACTTTCATGTTTTTTTTCCGAAATAGGACTTTACACTGTGGTAATGTGGCAGTGTACATGTGCATATTACTATACTTTTTTGGTAATGTGTATGACCATGTTTGATAATGTAAGTCATATTTCAGAAATAAAAACATGAAAATCCTATTTTGGTATATTTTCAATGTTTTAGTCTTATTTTGGTCTTTCTCCCTATTTTGTGTCGGTGTAATGCTAGATTGTTAGTTCACACAAACATAAAATATTAGTTCAAATTTTTGTTAACGCACCATCATTTTGTGTTAGTGTGTACCTTTGGTGTAATGTTGAGGTACACATTTTGGTGTAAGTGTAGCATAGTTGTTAAGAAAATGAAGAAAGAATAGAAAGAAAGTAATTAAAGTTTTGGTGGGTAGAAAATCGAAAGAAACAACGAGGAAAGAAAATGCAATACTGCAAAATAATATTTTTATCATTATTGCATTTTAATTGTAAAAATTTGATATATACGAGTAGAAGAAAAACGCAAGCTAAGGTATCAAAAAGGTGGCAAAAATAATTTAGAATTAAGTTATTTGTATCTCAAAAAAGATATCTCACTTCATACCTCAAATGCATATTAGCATACAACAACATTTTATGCTAGTGTAATGGTTTACAATGACATAAAATGTCAGTACGTTTTTTATTACACTAGCTTTTTATGTCAGTGTGAACCGTGAAAATACCGGTGAATCTATTTGGGGTACAACTTCAAGTATACTTCTTGGTGTACCCTGAAATGGTTGAATAATTTAACACATTTTCACTCCTATGTTTTTGTTTTCTCCTCCGTCTAGGAGAGAATTGTTAGAGCACTAGAAATGGTGCAATACCCACAGGTGTTAAGCGCTATTTAATGCACGGGGGACGTTAAGCACCACCCCTCCACCGTCATTAGAGCGTCAAACGTCCTATATTAAACAATTTAACATATTATTATGTTATCAGGGCGTCAAACGTCCTGCGTGAAATAATTTAACATGCAGGGCATCAAACGTCATGGGTATACTTCTTGGTGTACTCCTAACGTGGTTGAATAATTTAACATGTTTTCTCTCCTATGTTTCTGTTTTCTCCTTCGTTTAGGAGAGAATTGTTAGAACGTAACACCAGAAATGATGCAACACCCATAGGCGTTAAGCCTTATTTAACGCACATGGGGCGTTAAACACCGCCCCCCTCCACCGTCATCAGGGCGTCAAACGTCATGCGTTAAAGGTTTGACGCAGCATCGCTGCTAGAAACCCGTTGCCCACCTCCCACCAAGAGTCCAAATTATGGCCATTGGGCATTTTTCAAAAAAAAAGAACAAGATTAATTTTTCACCTATAAATACTCCTCATTTTTAAAAAAAATATTTTACACGCACAACATATTCTCAATCTCTATAATTTCTCCAAAATATATTCTACTCTTTTAATTCTCTCGATAAAATATTCAAAAATGAAATTATCTTCATCCGACGATAAAAGAAGAGCGTTCAATGGTGGCAACAAGGCCAACGAGAAGAAGTAGATAAATTTTTAAATTGTGTTGTTATTATTCAAATCTTATATTATAATGTACTTTTTTTATTGAATGTATTTTTTTATTTAATAAATTATTATTGTTTAAATTTAAGTAAATAATGAAATTTTGTTCATTTAATTTTAGACGGAGGGAGTAAAATTTTTTATGACATCACTCCCCAACTTTTAACATAAATGTGAGAGAAATTACTTTTAAATTAAAGCAAAAAAACATATAAAAAATTAGATCATATGTTTTCGGAAGGGATAAAGATATTTATACCACAATAATTTGTACCTCATTTTGTACACCGTAGGAATGCACTAACATTAAGTGTTGGTATAATGCTACTTTTTGTTAACGAATCAAAACTAGTCAGTGAAAATTTTAGTTAACACCAACATTTTGTGTCAGCGTGAACTATAAAAATGTTGGTAGTAATTTTAGTCTAGAAACGGGATACAAATTATATTCCCGTGCAATTGCAAAGTTATATTCCCGGCGCCCGACCCGGAAATTAGCATGGGCGTAAAAGCCGTAAATACAACGAACAAACACAATAAATGTTTCACAAGAGTAGAGCATTACGCCATTACCCAAAAGCCTACCCTACATAACCTGCACATCTAGTGAACAAATCTTTTCTGATTAGCGTCGTCCCTCTCTTGAAAAATTATTGTACAATATTCCTCTTAGAGGGATGCCAGGGATACACCAAAAGTGTACTCCAAATTATTTATTTATTTATTTTATTTTACATACCAAAATATGTAGTAATGGAGGAGGTGATGTACATTTGGGGTACACTAAAAGTGTACCCCTAGCATTTTTGTTCTTGTAATTGTGATGAGAAATGCTTGGTGGTGAACACACTTGAGATACACCACATGCACACCAAGTTCAAGATAGGTACAAACAGACACTAAGTGTGTGTGTACGCGTACCTATTTTAGACATAGTGTACGTGTGGTATACTCCTAGTACTCCTCAATTGTGGTTGTATTGAATTGAAATCAAAGCCAAAGTTAACATTGGAAAATGCTAAAACCCTCCACCGTTGTTACCAACCATGCCCCCTACATAAACATGTGGTATGGAGGCAAAAAAATTAAAATTAGAGGGTATAGTAGGTGGAGAATGGGTAGAGATAAATATGTGGTGGAGAAATGGGTGGATGCAAGGTTGTTAGCAAGGGTGGGGGGTGCGTAGCACGGTTCAAATTAACATTATTTGAGCAGCTACAACCAACGACGTCGTCAATCCATCATAATCTTCTTCTTCTTGCCCGGGTTGGGGTCTAAGCTTCCTAATTAACCACTTCCTGCGTAGTTTAATATCCAGTGCCAGAAATGTCATTGCCCTCTTTTCATCCTCTAGGAAATCACATGCATCCAAAACAAGGTTTTCATTTGTTAGAATGCATCCCACATCGGAAATCTAACTAATCGATTGGATTCAATCTTTCAATGTAGTTCAGCCCAAGTATTCTATTACCCAGTCCATTTATTTATGCCCAATTCCAAATTCTATAGTCATCCATCTCCATTATTGCTTGACCCTTCTTCTTTTATCTTGCGTGCCACTGGCAGGGCCACAAAAACTTTTTTTTTTATCTTGCTTTAATTTAAAAGTAGTTTCTATCACATTTATGTACGGAGTATTCTTTATCTCTCTCTCTATTCACTACATCCAAATTGAGCTGGCAATTGTCATCATATTTCAATTTTTATTGTATATATACGGATGGTGGAGGCACGGAATTGCCTCATCTTCTCCATCCATCTTCTTCCCTTTCCTTGCCTTATCTTCTCGATCATCTTCTTCCCTTTCCTTCTAATCTCAATGGGGAATTGTTTTTCCAGAAATCATCCAAGAACAAGAGATGACGAATCCAACGGTCATAAGGTGCATGCCTATTTTTTTTTCATTATTCCAATCTTATTCGTTTTTTTAATTTGATGATCAAGAAGAATATAATAATGGTGAGGGGTTGTAATTTTTCTGTTTTGTAATTGTCCTCAGGAGCATTTCCAAGCTGCAATGTCTCACACCTCGGTGATGGGAATGTTTATCCAAGATGGGACTGTCGTGGGGACTGATTCAAGACTCACCGGGGTGATTAACCGAACACCCTTCATATTACGCGGAAATCCATCACTGAAATTGATGCGGCACAAAGGATTCGCTAGTGCCATTAGCGGATGGTGGGATGAAGGATGTGTAAGAATTCACGAACACATAGAAGAAAAAGTAATAAGTTATTCATTACTTGATATATATTGTTTTTAATTTATTATTAGTTGTTTGAAATTTTGTTTAATTATTTTTTCGGGTATTGTTAAAATATACTCTGTAGTACCGAGAGTATGCAAATCGATTCCCCAGAAGAGCGAGAGTTGATGTGATCAATAAAGCTGTTACTTGGGCGGTGGAAATCATCCGAAGCTTGGGTGATCGTACACTCTTCGAGTACAGTCAATTTGGGGTATGTGTAAATTTTTAAGTGTTTCACTCCCCAAGCCATGCAACCAACTAGGTTATTGCTCCTTTTGCTTAATAATCCGTGTATAACGTAATAGATTTTGAAACATGGCCATGTCCTGCAATTATCTAAAACTACCTTAAATTTTTAGAAAAAAAAGTTGCGTTTGTGTAATGTAAACTTATTTTACAAACTTTAAAAGTAGTTAAAAAAAGAAAATATTTTTATGCAAAAATAAATATGAACAATTTATCTAAAAATTATTATCGTCCTAAAAAATCAAGTAATATTCACTAATTATAAATAAGTATACTTCAATTTATCTTAATTAACTAAATTTATTTTATTATTTTTGTTTAATTGCTTACAATAAAGATTGAAAACAAATAAAATAAAATCACAAACAAAAAATATACTTCCTCCGTCCCGTGAAACATTTCCCCTTTCTTTTTTTATCCGTCCCACAAAACACTTCTCATTTCTATTAAAAAGTCACTTTTACCCCTTACTTTTTCATACCCTAACTATCACATCATACCTTTTACTAATAATCTATCCATCAAATCATACTTTTGAAATTCAATACCAAAATACACTCCCTTAAATCCCTCCTAAAAAGCAAATGTTCCATGTTTCACGGGACGGAGGGAGTAAAATAAACCAAAAAAAGAATGAGTTTCAATTATTTTTTTTGCTTTTTATGGAAAAAATAAATATATAAAATAGCAAACAAAAAAGATAAGTGTTGAAGGGAGACTCTCTTCTCTTACTTTTTCATTGCCCAACGTCTCTATATATGAGACGGGATTAGGGTTTATAGTTAAAGCCCAATGGGCCCACAATATATAAACTACAAAGTACAATCCATAATACATATTGTATCTACACGATAGCACACCATTTGCAGTTCTCTTTAACACTCCCCCTTGTGCTGAGTTGTAGATAGAAAGGTAAATGTCTTGTTGCCTCATAACGCATCTTCAAGTAAGAAAACCTCTCGGGAAAAATAACCTTGAGTGAACGGAAAGAGTACTACTTTTGTAGAATATGGAAGAATTCCTCCACTGAATGTTAACTTCTGTTTGCCAAGCAACAAACACCCGATGGGAAAATAAATCTTGGCATAAAAGAGTATTATAATATGGGTGCTTAACTCCCCCTGGAGTCTACACCTGCCCCTGATTATTACATCAATCAATAGGGTCACACATATGCACTTTTATATTGCTTTTGAATTCAAGCATCAGTTACTTCTGATGATGACACTAAATAAATTTTCTCAAAACAATATTGTCTTGTGTGCCAAATAAAATCAAAGAGCGATGCATTCTTATTGCCTCATTAAAATCTTGCCAAGTAACAAAACCCAATGGGAAAAATAAAACTTGGTCATAGGAAAAAGAGTACAATGCACCGATATGGTCGATGATAATTAGAACTCTTCTTAAAGTGTTAAATACATTGCACTGATATGTACTTATACCAATGACACTCATAAGACGTCACAATCGTGATACCATAATGTATCCCATAGAATATGCATTACTAATTTGAGGTTTTTGTTTATGAGGGTTAATGTGTCTTTGACCTTAATAAAACCGTCAAACAAGTTACTTTATGTTTAAGGGTTACACATATATTTTCATTAGGAACAGTATTATCATCAATCATTAAGTTTAACTTAGAAATAAATAATATCCATGCCAACAATTCCAACACGAACATCAAAATGCATTTCGATAATGATTGTATGACTATGCATCATAATTGTCCTAGTATAGTTATAGGCAACAAGTTCAATGAGAATACAATATTGGTTCAAGTGCAGTAATGCATTTTTGCACTCGTATTGGGAATTTCTTATCTCGATAATTCTCCAATACGTTCATTTGATTGAATGGATCATTTCTTGTATCCATAGTTCAAATTGATCATGAGAGTGCTAATAGGTTGCATTAACCACATCATTTGCCTGAGAATATTTGAGTATATGCAACCTGGTGATTTAATGTTCCACCAACTCTATACTTATAGAGTTTCTCAAGATCTATCATCTCATATACAGATTTCAACTATTCAAGGTTTGCTCATATTTCATTTAGAGTACCATAATGATAGTTGTAAATCTTGAACTTGTCTTCTTTATATCCCTTTTCAGA